TACTGCACGGTTAACCTATATCCGTGCAACTTAACCTTTTTGTCAGTACAATGTACGAATTTTGTATTGAGTAATTTTGAAATAGCAGCAGAATAGTTTGGGAAATAACAGCAGCATAGTTTATTTCAGTACAGACAGAATAAATAAACACACTGTTTTATGTGATATATTCTAATGTCTACCCCAGTCTCGCAGTGACATACTCTCGCGTCCAGTAAAGCTTTTTATATATCTAGTATGTTTCACCTTCACCGACATTGACGACTGAAGCCTCCGTCGCATATGGTACTTATATAGAATGTCAACACATGTCTGGTGATCCCGAACTGAATCCTGTTAGCAGGTTTTAGCGCACAACTGATGTCGGAGATAATACATTGAAATAGTTATGTTATTCATATGCGTCTTTTCGTTATCTTACATATGAGTCTTTTTTCCATTTAAAAAAAATCTGAATAAGGTATTCGTTACTGAATACGAAAGAAACACTTCTCATAGAAGAAAAAAATACCTACCGGCCAATCATTCACACACCAGAGGTCATAAATCAACAAGCTACACGTCATAAAACATTACTCATTCTGACCTTTCCCGAGTAAAACACAAACTATAAAGCTCCGTGTTAGCGGATGCAGGCTACATACGGACGCCATGTCAATCGCAAAAAGAGATAACATTCTTGACATTAACGGCCTCAGCAATCAAAGATCGAATGTTTGATTTTTCGTTCCGTTGAATAGTGTATTGATCTTGTAGATGGTGTAGATAGGTGTGGTCTGTGCGGACTAAGAGCCGACCCTCTCCCCGACCCTATCAAACTAAAATCAACCTACCTTACTCTGAATCACAATGAATGAACACTCACTAACCCTTCTCAGCAACAATGCTTATCTTTAAGCGTACTAAAAGCAAATTGTCAATGCCGAATTCCTTCGGTTTTGGTATTTTATCAACAATGGTTAAACAACTTAAAACTGCACTCCATGTTCACGTTTCTATTAAGTATTCCATTTCAGTATAAATCTCATGCATAGATATTGAGAACAGGGCAACTTGTGAAGAAGACAGCTTTGTTGATTTCCGTTTTTGACGCAATTCAGATGTTCTAGTTGCATATAACAGAAATATCACATTGAAAATATAATACAAGTACAATGTAACGTAAGTTATAGCATCATAAATCTGCTTGGTTATGATGAAATATCATATGTTATGGACTCATCAATTGTGTACATGAGTTTTTCTATCCTTTTTCCCGCGGGGAAATTTAAAGTGCCTACTGAAAACTGGCGTGGTCCAGTTTATGACCGCGTTTAAATCAATCAGATTCAAGAAGGCGCAGCTTAAAAATAAACAGCGACACTTACCTGTTGCGAATGACTATTTGTTCAGTGTCAGGTCGGTTGCACATATACAACATGTTTCATATAGCAAGTCATATATATTTTAATCATTGACACCTTTGCTTAATATTTTCTCTCTGTTTTAATGTTTGATTGATTGAAATCAAGAAAATCTCCAACCTTTAACTCAAGTGGCTTTTCTATATCTTTACTTACAACATGATCAACAGGAACGGCTTACTACTAAGCTGTACGATTACCACTTTCATATCGTGCACTTTTCCTTTTCTTTGTATCAACATCCCTGCTTTCCTTTCCTATGCCTATTACATGTCACAGTTGATTTGGTACTCAATAGCTTAATTCGAATATAAAGGTTGTCAGCCTTAAAGCAGGAGACGCTTACCCTTCCGAACCACGTGGAATTATACATTTTCAATGGTCTTAATCAAAATAGTTTTATCGCTTTTCAGTTGAAATTTATTTCGGTATTATCTTGTTTTTTGGGGGTTTTGGAAATGTGGCAACAGTTGAAGACATGATGACTGTGTTCACTAATATTACACTACTTGATGAGTTGCCCTTTAAAGTGACACCGCATTCAAAATACTGCTACCTGGAACTGTCAGCGTGCCAAACTATTCTAAATCTGATAAGGGGCTAACATTGAGATGCCCGTGAGAACATACCGGAAAGAAAGAGTAGAACCACGTGACTCTGCTGTGCGTCCAACGTTCGTCGACGCATACAAGCATACAGTGGGATAAAACAGACAAATATTTTCTCTGTAGAACCTGCACGAACGTTTTATTATATAAATGATGTTCACATACAATCAGTTATATAAATCTATAAATGCGTTAAGAAATACAACTACGTTTCAGTTAGGCGTTGTGAGTGAAGCCCTTGTACTGTCGTCTGCAAGGTATAGTGTCTTAGAGAACAAAGAAGAAGGTGTATACGGTAGTGTAGCCGTTCAGACACATTACGATAAACCTGACACGTATCTGTTCCGCCAACGTTCAAGTCAATTACCGTGGACATCTTGTATCATGTCTAAGCGTAAAAAATAAACTTATAAATCGGTTATCGTTACAACTGGATACATAATGATAGATAAATTCCTGGAAGAGTGTGACAGAACATTGATTTTAACTTAAGGTTCGAACCACGATGAGTCTTAATAAAACCCTTTCAATATGACAACACTACATGTTTTATTTTCTTAATACCAATACCTACATACACAAGTAATTATCCTAAGGGCTATGGGAAAGAAAAGACATGCTGTATTCCACTATATAATTGTTTTTCGTTTATTATACTGGTGCAGAAACAGAACATTCCAAAATGTTTATCCCTGAAAAAATTGACATTCAGCCATACTTGTTAGATAAAAAGATGGTATCCAGCCATGAAATACAGAATACCGAGTCATACTTGTAAAATGAATATAGGTATTCATCGGAATTATCAAAAACACTGTATATCTTTCATATGCGTGATATTAAGCTCAGATATTTGACAAGGAGATATGTTGTGAATTGTTTTTGGCCATTGCTACATGTAAGACCTGGCAGCCCATCGATCCCCGTCTCTTGGCGAGGTGTACTTTAGCGGGCCAGTGTTTGATGTGGCCGACAGTCCGGGTCTACGGTAGACGTACCTTTAACATCAATTATGCAGTACCCTGTACAAAGTATTGCGTCCTTTTTGCGGATCTTGGGGACTTTGTATTACCCAATGCAACTGTACAAGCTAGCAAGAAATGCATATAACACGGGATGAACAGCACATTCATTTTCTTGGAGTTCGGAGCTTGAAATCATTAAAAAGAAACAGGAATAGTATGAAGTAGGAATACATTTTTCTGTCTGAAGTATTTTAAATACGGGGACAAACTTTGGAAATGTATTAAATATAAATATATATATATATTATATGTAAAAACAACTAGCGATATTATACGATATGTTACCCATAGCTTTAAGAACGCCGATCTCCCTTTGCCTGAACCGCGTACATTTACCTGTGAACGTTATAGACGTGTATGCAATGCTGTGTTATACAATAAAACTAAGATACCTGGCAATAATACAATGTATATAACTTAGTTTGGAAACATGTAGTTTAAGTAGTACAATATTTAACAATGGAATGGACAGCATAACACTTTAAAACGTGAACTTTTAACATTTGAGGATGAGTAACTTGAACTTTTCTCACTTAAATGCTAAATTATTGAAAACGATATTTGCTCTTGTGTCATCCTTTGTTTTCCCTCTAACAGACCTTTCTTTGCCTGAGACGACACAACTTGATGTCGACATATACAAAATGTAATTGTAGACAAGAAAAATGCTGAGAGATAAACTGTACCCATCGCCACCTTCTGTAGGAATTCACCACATGACAAAGACAACACTAGGATAGGTTGTTTTGCGGAAAGATTCGTATTGCAATCGATTGAAACTTTTCGGTCTGATAACATAGAGTCATCGGTGTTTTATAGTTCCGAGGGGACTACTTTTTGCAGTATAAATGGTCTTGATTCCATGGGTTTCATTAACCGAAGCGATCGTAAACTGACGCAAGACACAAGTTACTGCAGATTAAAGCCCAGCAGTTAATAAATCGTGAGCAAGATTAGACGCGTAACTCCTACAAAGTATGGTCACCAGACGGTCTGTGAAATTAAACCCACAACATACCGCCACATTTAACTTTCAATACTGTGCTGTGAACGAGCTGTTTATATCCTAAATTGTATTTATGTTCCTTTCTGAATCGTCACCGAATACTTATCAACATCGCGGTCTTCTTGGGTACATGTTGGTCGGTAATAACGTTAGGAGGAAGTAGCAGCACGTACATATGTCTATTTTTTGACTAAATGTCTGCATGTTTTTTGGTAATTCCACTAGTTTTATGTTCTTAAAAGACTTTAAAGCAAAACAAAACAACAACAAAAAAGAGTCTATCTGTCTCTTTATCGTAACGCCTACTAACAGGGAAATAATAAAACCGTTTGTATGAAATATGTGTTAAAAGTTTATTTGACATGGTGGTTTTATGTAAACAGGTACTCGAAGCAATACATATACAGATCAAATCATCTAATGTTGTACGGCATTTTTGTTGATTCCTACATTTTTACTCAGTAAGAATGACATCATCTTTTTGTTGTCTGACTCATTCCGATACACTTGGTGATTCCAAACATTCTGTTTTTTGTGAATGACCTCACCTTTTTGTAGTCTGACCGATCTATATCGAAGAAGTGACGATCAGGTGGTCAACTTTGTCCGGCCATACTTGTATCAATACTGTGTAAGGGAAATATTTCGCCCATTCAACTTCTCGCCCTTCTCCCATGAAATATATTTTCGTCCAGTGTTACTTTCGCTTTTCACATTGAATTATTATGTTAATTATGTTCTTTAATAATGCTCGCTGTAATGAAATATTCGTCCCCTATTCAAGAAGGCGAAAAAGGCGTAAATTGAACTGACGAAAACATTTCCCGTTTAACAGTATAGAATTCCATATCAGATTGAAAATCAATCAATCATGATGTTATAACTAATTCATTAATTAATAATATAATTTTTCTCTTTCCCATGTGTTATTTACGTTTTGATTATTTTCTTTTTCCAGGCGGTTTGGTACGAAATGTGCGGGATGCGAGAAAGGGATCCCGCCGACGGAGGTGGTTCGGCGGGCGCAGGATAACGTTTATCACCTCGAGTGTTTCGCCTGTCTTATGTGTAGTCGACAACTTAACACAGGGGACGAATTCTACCTTATGGAAGACCGCAAACTTGTCTGTAAACCCGACTACGAGGCGGCCAAAGCTAGAGGTAACCTATTGTCCCGATTAAATTTAAAATCTAACTGAAATTGTTTTACAAAAACGTCAACACAAGGGCTAAATTGGATCTAAACGTAAATACTCAAAAAGCAACAGCAGGAATTGAGAAATCAAAACAACAAGGAAAAATCAAGAACCCCGTCAATGAACCAGACGTGAAACCAGTCTTTACTAATATATCAATTTTTTCACGAAAGTATATTGAAAAACAGAAAAATACAGAAAGAACAAATACCATTCATACCTTACTGACATTTAGTAACTACCTTCTTTTTTAACCAAATAAGGGCTATAACTTCTAAGGAAAATGAGGAAACTTGCGTTTATGTGTTTATATCTACCTGCGAAGCTAAATATTGGCTAAAGATGATTGTCTTGTTGCAGCATTAAAAATCTACCATGCATAATCGATACGCTAGCTATTGATGGTTTTCCAGTAGATACTAGCCACTGATTTGTGATGGCTGTCCGATCTAGACAAGCTCCTTACTTATAAGTCTTCCCAGTAAAGAGAAGACTTTTATTGATGGGTATTTTTTTATAGACGACCACTCTGGCTCGTACAAGTCTTCCAAGTAAATACCTACTGTTTACTAACAGCTCCTCAGTATAAGCTATCCTGTTGACTACCAAGGTCTAAAGAGCCTAGCCCCTGTCTGATGACAGGTTCCCAGTCAAGGGTAGCCCCCGACTAGCGACGTCTGCCCAGTAATTGCCAGTCACTAATTAGTGAAAGCTGCGCCCTTTGTGACAGTCTGTCCAACATTGATCCCATTACAGGGTTACACTCAACTAAGAGAATCCCTACCTAAGTACTGGCCGTCTTCAGGCTAAACCTCTAAGCTTATTAATTAATCAGTAGACGCAACATTGAAAATATGGCTTCCCTATCCCATAATTTAGTCGGGCGTTAATACCGAAGTGAACGGATTGACCTCAGATTCTTATCCTACGTACGACCAGCAGTTAATTCACGGCTTCGTTTTGCTCATGGTATACCAGATTATCACATCCTTACTATGTTAGTATATAGTATCCTTACTACACTAAGTAAATTAATCTGTACTACATATAGAATAACTTGTGATATGAGTCATGAAAACTTGAAAACAGCAAACATTATAACCATACGAATGTGCAACGTGAAAGTGTAAGCCTATAATAATAAAAATAAATAATAGCAGTTCATGACGCGAACAACTTCGACGTGTTTTAGTTGGAGACGTAGAATAACGTTTGATCATTGCATCTTGTCCCTCAGCATCAGGTCCTTTATTCTTATCCTTGCTCCCTGTCGTGAGGAGGCCGAGATCACAGTGATGATTTGCGAGACCCCGCGGAACTGAGAGTGATATCGAATGGCTGTCTACTACTATCTCGCCGCTGATATATTTACGATCAAGGCGTTCTATAAAGACGATTCTATGCGACATCAGGTGAAATGAATTATCCAAAAAAATCTCGTTATTTTACCTGGAACACGCGACGAGGCCACGGAACTGCGCGCGTGCTTTGGCGGTGATAAGGAGCTAGAACAGAAGATAACGTACAGCTGCACCGGCAAAGTTTCATATTTCACCAGGAGAGAAGAGTTATTGATGGAGAATCGTCATGATATTTCCCTACACTAACAATAAAACTTCTATCTACGATTCCACCAGCTCTCAAACGCCAATTTAATGTTCTTAGTGTAATGCGCTTACGTATTCTGCAAATCTGCTTTTTCTTCCACGTTCGCTGGCATTGTAATGGAATCGACAAGATGAGATGTATTCTGGTGAGGTAGAATCGGGCATACCCGTACAGCATCATCTCCATGCTAGGCAGGTGTTCTGTTGGCGTACGAATATCAATGCGTTAGTATATCTATCCAGCACAGCTGTGTTAAAGATATATTACCCTTATAGGTAACATCAACGAACCATTATTTCAGAGGTTTTCTGACACATCAATATAGTCCAACTGTCGACGGAATCATATAAAATGATTATCAAATGATGTATATGGCTTATGCCTTGCTTGGCTTTATAGCTCCGGTTTTATCTCAGCTTCTGCCAGGTAAACGCAAAATGCTTACATCGTGTCTCGTTAGGTATTAAACCATGTTTTCATCCTCATGAAAAATGTATTACACTGTACATATACTTCAGAAATGGGATATCTACCTCTCTTAAACGTTATGGGAGATAAATTTAAACGCGATACTACAAACATCTTCATTGTTTGATTTATAAAACAATATAACAGTACTTATTGCGCTTTTACCTTTTTATAAACGTGTTTGATTGTTTAAAGATGGTATCTCCTTGACGTAAATGCATATCAGGTTATGAACAGGCCCGGGTTTAATATGCACACGAAAGTCATTTGATGTGATCTAACGTTACAACCTAAAGCGAACCTACTCTTTTATATTGTTGCAATCATAAGAAGATGCACATTGATACTTGAAATGTCATTTTTAGAATGCTTTTCATTTTTAATGTTTCTATCATGTTTGCTTCAAGTAAACAAAAAGTAAAGAGCATTGCTACTGAAAATATTGAGGTATACTAAGAACAATTAAGTAGTTTGAAAAAGCTGAAGTTATATAAATAATAAAAAAAAATAGGGATCGATACTTGTCTGATACTTTTTTTACATTAAGATATATCGCTAATGAAGTCCTGCTTGAGCATCTAATTCATCTTCGCTTCAAAAATATTAAAGGACGATACAAAGTGTATCACGTGTTTCTCGACTTAGCTTCCTAAGTTAAAACAAACAAGGCTTCATACTTACGGAGTTCATATGTCCCATTTTAAAAGCTACTCCAGATTTTGGTACAAGTACCATGATTTCTGGATAGATGAGCTGTGTTGACTACCATTTTATTTAATCATAAGGGGCTTCAATCTGCGTTAAAAAACATTTCATGATCGTTGTCGTGATCTAATACTCACTTGTAAGATTTCAGTGGTTTTCACTGTATCGTTGGTTACCATTGGTTACCTACACAATGTACATACTTTCTCAGATGGTGCAGGAAACATATTTTTAATCCCGTGGAAGTTCAGGACAATTGGTCTTTCCTGCTTGTTTTGATGTCTCTTCAGATTCTTTAGTTGCCTTTCCAAACCGATATTGTCCTTTAATTCGTTTAGTGGCATGTTGTTTAATGTTGAATCAGCGTTATTGTTCTTGTTTGAGGGAATGCAAATTTTTATTTTGCAAAATGTAAAATTTATTTGCAATGTTATGGCAGGCTGTTACTTTAAATCCTATGGAATATATAATGAAACGTTTATCTATTTTTGGGATTCAAACGATTTCTAATCATTTGATTCCGTGACATGAACAAAGCTAAATACATATCCTTCAGTAGTATTTGTAAGCAAATATTAAGCAAATCTCTGTATTTAGTATGTTGCAGTACTGTAATTGTTGGTAATTTTCTGGTCAATTCGATATTGTCGATTAAATATTTGGAGTTGTAATGTGACAGATGAAACAAAGTGGTTCATTCCTACGTTTTATCTTACATCTACATTTTTTCTATATTTCTTTATCATTACCCTGAACCAAGACTTTCATGTTTTTGTAGAAATAGACCTAGATGCTGCTAATAAACGTCCGCGAACGACCATCACGGCAAAGCAATTGGAAGCCCTGAAGACCGCTTATAACGAAAGTCCGAAACCTGCAAGACACGTGCGGGAACAGCTCAGCGCCGAGACCGGACTGGACATGCGTGTGGTACAAGTTTGGTTCCAAAACCGCCGAGCTAAAGAAAAACGCTTGAAGAAGGACGCAGGACGGAACAGATGGAGCCCTTACTTCCGGCAGTTGAAACGTTCAGGAGACGCAGACAGTTCACAGAGTGCGGACAATATGTCAGACGATGGACAGCTCGACGGATATAGTGAGTGTCAGTGACTTTGTTATACAATATTACTCTCTCTTTTCATTCTTTAAGTAGCGTTGGTGCATGCATATAAACTGAAACCAAAGCTGATTGTTACCTCCTCTTTCTAGTCAGCATCGCAATGTATTGCCTAGTTTTTACGACAAATAGAAGACGATCTTATTAAAAATAACAAGAGCTCCAAGCTATTTACATTTCTTTTCCAAAATCGGCATAAACTAATGAACTATTATATGAGAAACAGCATTTACGTTTTACATTTCTGTAATGTAATGTGGGTTATGTTTACAGATGACCTAGATGACCTGGATGGGCCTGTATCGTCAGGACGACTTTCAGAAGACATGTTCAGCTCAGGCCAACCACTCGATCGTGAGCCCAGTATCGGGCAGGTGCCCGTTGGACCGTCAGGGACTCCACCCATGGAATCCTGGACCCAATTTAGTACCAACATTCCGCCCAATGCTAGCTACCTCGGTCGTCACTCACCAAATATACCACTGTCTAACTCACATATGATGCCGATGGAACCCATTCAAATGCACGGTGGACCCAACGTGCTGAGGATGATTTCTCCCGACATAAACGAAAACTCTCAAGGATACACAGATTATCCGGTGGTGACGAGTCACAGTCATGTGGAGGTATACTGACAGACAGCCTCGATATCAAAAAAATATATATTATCATTTACAATCTCAAAAATGACCAGTGTTATTCTCAGTGATAAGTTGAAAGGAACAGCGGTGTCTTATATTGGAATTTACATGGAGCATGAGAAATAATGAATTCCCGACGTACAAGTTAAACCGATAAATCGGTTTCCTATTTGCAAAAACTAAAAGATCAGTGCTGGTGTTGTACGAACCGGAATTCCATAAGGACGCGGGACGGATGAAATGATATGCAACAGAAAGGAACGCCTATCCTAAGATAAGATGAAAATGCAACTACCGTTAAAGTACGACCCATGCTTCTGAAGGAGTTGTTGCTAATTCTTATCGTTTGTATATTATATCAGTAGGGCAATGCCTCATGATTATCATACTTATTGTAAGGAAAAGGAAATGGTGTCATACTGGAAGTTTAACTTAGTGAGTCTCAAACATTGATCGACATGAGTAAGAACACGTATGTCTCCAACGAGGGGGCAGGAACAGGTAGATATCACTCTCATGCAGAGCAAAAGACTGGAAAAATGTGTGTGTTTTGAGTTTTCCCTCTCATCAGATGAGAACATCAGAGTTTATATATATATATAATGTATGGACAAATTATATAAGTATATATTATTGAGGTAGTGTATGCTAGATGGATACATATTTTCGTATATAAGGATACTAAGACATGTGCTGTTTTCACTTCTTTATTTTTTCATTTTCTCCCTCTGCTCAATCATCTGTTTTATTTCTTGAGTCATATTTACAAACCATTATATGTATATTAAAGTGTCGTCCTGACATGCATAACTAAACACTCATATCAACATGAGAACTATATTTCATTCGTCATAATGAATTGGTTAATTGAAAGACCAAATACATTTTTGGTACTTTTGTACTGCACTGCATATTTCCTATACATGGATATCTTGGATTTATTTGTCACTGCACGATATAAATGATACTTATAGAGAGCAAATGTATCGGTTTTCAAGAACAAACTATTTAACAGATATTAGCATAAGATGCAAAATTGTTGAATATAAAAGTAAAGATAGGAAACCTATTTAAAAACTGAATGAAACAATTTTTTAGCTCACTGTTAAAAATTCTGCAAATGTATTTGTTTGAGGTAGCACTCCTTCCGTATTTATTTATTTATTTATTGTTACGCCGAATGTGAGATTACCGTTGTTGGTACCTGATAGAATTTACCTCTGTAGTTAATTCCGCGAGAACTCACCTATGTAGTTAATTCCGCGAGAACTTACCTATGTAGATATTCGCTAAGGTTTACCTGTGCAGATACTCGCTATGATTGATCCGCGGAGATATACGCCAGAATTCACCTGTGTAGATACTCGCCCGAATTTACCTGCGTAGATACTCGCTAGAACTTACCTGCGTAGATACTCACCATAATTTACCTTCTTGGATACTCACCAGAATATCTTCGTAGAATCTCTAGAACTTACCTGTGCAGTTTCCCGCTAGAATTTACCTGCGTATATATTCGCTAGAACTAACCTGTGTATTTACTCGCAATAATTTAATTAAGCAGAAAATGACTAGAATTTACCTCCATGGGTACTTGCCGGCTTTACGAACAAGCTGTGCATATTATATCATACTCAAAAATAAATTAATCAAAGTGGTTTTAAATTGTTTTTATGAAAGAGTCGTAGTAATATATTGAAGTGTTTTATATTTTAAATACTGTATTTTTTATTATAATTTTTTGTGTGAAGATTTACTTATAATCTTCTGTACACACACACGAAATGAAAGGTTGCTTAAAGGTGGTTTTAATTGCAACACAGTAATGTACTCAATCAAGCAATCTTAAAGATGGTACATTGTGTATGTGTTCTTGAGATATCTAGGTTCGATATTTTATATCTAAGTAACGATAGAGGACAAGTGTGCAATGCATTTATGCAGAACATTGTTATGGCCGTGTGGACATCTAGTCATATATGTTTATGTGAAAGAAACTGTCGTTTATTTGTGTTATCTGCTCAATGTTTGTTTATTTAATTTATTCATTTTCTCTGTTATGTTTTGTATTTTCATTAGCTGTTGTCCTATTTTGACCACTTTTTGTTGAAGAAACTTGTGCTAGTATAACGAAGGAGATATTGTATTACTTACATTTATTTTATGTTAAACTTAAAACTTGAAAAATATTATAATAGAAAAACAATAACTCCAAACTATCGGTTTATCATTTCACGAGAGAAAAAAGGAATTAAAACGTATATAAAAATGTATAAATGTATAATTCTTTAAAGCAATATATGTTTACAAAAAATACTGAGATGAAACAATTTGATTGGTGATATTGAATTTGTTAAATTACATGAAGATTCTTATTTTCTATTAACAGATCCTACCTCTTCCTAAACTCACTGTAGAGGGATTTTAGTTAACCGTAGTTTACTCCATATGAAATCATTCAAACACATGTTTTATTTGTGAAGATATCTCAAAGTAATTATTAGCTGTTATGCGATCAAAATAAATGTATAACGATCTGTTTGTAGATATACTGTGAAATCACTAATTTTCGGGGTTTTTTTTATTTCGTTGATTTCGTCGGTCATCCAGGAATTCATAGATCCACAAAGTAATTACAGGTTTGATATAAAGCAATTCCCCTTTTGAGTAGGTACTCGTAATCCACGAATGTACGTCCCCGCGAAATGGTGTTTTGTCGGAAAACCAAGTAATTGGTCCCCACGAAAATATCTGATTTCACAGTAAATAGAAGGTGTACATTGGATCCTTTATTGTTTGTGATAAATTGTTTCTTTTCATTAGTATTCTGTTAATTATTTTACATACGGTATTCTGTGTGTAGCTGATTTTACACCTTTATTTATTTTGCCTTTTGTAAAATGGAATAAATATTCTTCAGATTATAAAATAATGTTGTTGTGTTATATAGTTTGGTCTGATGAGACCGGGAATTGAATCAAATGCGATTTTGCTTCTTACAAAACCACAAACAAATTCATTCACAAACTGAACATTTGAACGTCTTAATTTCCGGGTTCTTAATATAACGTATTACTAAGTATCTAGAGTTTCACTAGAGGTTCGGAGAACATAAGCATTGTTTACGTAATAAAACACTGTAATTTTAAACATATTAATTTCTTACAAGACCCATCAGAATAATTGTAATATATCTAGTGGAATTTAGTTTGTAGTTGAAAATTTACTAATTGTCGTATTTTTCAGTAGTGCTGTTGTGACACTATGCTGAAGCCGTCACATTACATCTTAGTCATAGAAATTCCGTTCATTTTCATGCAAGCATGTTTTATTTCAGAATCTGTCTTGATAAAGTTTAAATCTATCCACTTATTTAAAACATTTTATAAAATCATTGCATAAAAGCCTGAAGAATAGCATTTTTTTTATACATTTTTCACGTTTTTTTAGTTATGGTTTGCTCTATAAAAACATCACTGCGTGGTAAAAAATCAGTAAGTTTTAATGAAAACTTTATTTTTCTGTGTTTTTGCTAAAAGAACTGTATCAATAAAAAATGAAGTAGGTATTATACAGGTAAGAGATATCAGATATGCCTAGCATTAATATTTAGTAGGTTTCGAACAAGAAAATTGTAAAATGTTCATGATAAAGCTATCTTACTTCATCGAGGAACTCAGATAAATATATACTGGTATCTTTGCGACAAATTATGTGATAGTTCTGACACCAGTCTTTAATCGAAGTAAAACAACTCGTAATAAGGATGATAGAAGGTAGGAGACCATACAGTGAATCTCCATATTCGATGTGTATACCATTGTATCACAATATTGCTTTTTATCATAGTGTGACAAATCGATTCCTGCGTTCTTAAAGCCGTAATGGTAGATCACTTGATACAGGTCAGAGGTCAGAGGTCAGAGGTCATGCAAAACACACACGTGGTATCAACTGTGTCAATTAGTCTTTCATTAGTAAATTTTATAAACGAACCGTAGATTTTTGATATTTTACACTCATCGAATATAATGTGTTGTTAGGTTTTTTTTGTATTTAGGTACCTAGGAAAAACGTTAAAAAAACCGCGATCATTATTGGGTTATTTGATGTTTCAGGGATAGAGAAATATCGCTTCATCTCATGGTGAATATGGTTCGAAACGACAAACTCGAGGGAATCCGTAACCATTTTGCTTTTATTTGAGAATGTTGTTATTAAACATTTGAGTTAAATGCTGCTGAAGATAACATTCAATTGATATGAATGTAAATGAAATCAATAAGAAGTTATTGCCTTATTTTTGTTAAATAGTAATTACATAGACGAGGATCTGAAATAGGGTTCCTTCTGACTAAATCTTATGAAAGCAGAATCAGTCCTAGTTAATCAATAATTGATAAGATTATAACTGGAGATTTATCATCAATCTTATTCAAATACATCTAAGCATGTATCTCGTATACATAAAACCAGTTGAATGATGTGAATTCTGTCGACCAGGCAATAGATGGTGTGTGCAGTGTCGAGACTGTTTAATAATGCATCTTATTTAAACATAGCATCAATACAGAAACGATTAAATCAGAGACTGTCCCAGTGATATACCAACCACCTGTCGGTGCTTAAGCTGGTTGTAATTCCCTCAAACGTAACATCATTCTACCATCTGTATCAAAACGATAACATTTGTGACCTTTTCTGATCACTACTCTGAATCAAAAGATGTGTTCTTCCATATCAAAATAATTCGATTTTTTCATCCATCACAGACGTTCTAAAGAGTGCAGATTGTATTGCTTATCACTGCATGTCAGTTAGCTACAATAAACACACAGATAAACTTTCATATATTTTACATAAATCATTCAGATTGTCAATAGTTGTTAGACTGTCGTGTGAATGACGACAGCCTAGTGAAATTCTGATTCTTTATCATTGATCTTAAAATCTTACATACTATTTATTTCAAAGACCTAAAGATTTTATCAGGTGATATTCATATTTTTCATATTTCACTATATCAATTTTATTATTTCATTTTCTGCAAGTCCTAAGCATTCCGATACAGTTTAGTTATGTGGCGTCAAAATACAAAGCTATCGTTTTAGGCTATTCCCAGTTCTATAATCCGACAAAGTACCAACACATGGAATCAAAATTAACTTGTTATAATAAAAACAAACCACAATAATAAGTTATTTAATATTTTTCATATTATAGTCAATAATATTTGTATTGATATTCGGGCCTCGCGTGGTCTAATGTTTACCCCCTTGTAAACAGCACGGAATCTGAAAAAAAGTGCGATTAAGGATCGCCCTATCATAAAAATCGTATGATCTGTAGTATGTAATTTAGGATCGACCAATCATAACAATTATACTGTCTGACGATGTGTAACATATGATCATCCTCTCATCACACGTTCTGTAAAGTGTAACCTAGGGTCACTCTCTCATCACGCAGTCTGTAAAGTGTAACTTAGGGTCACCCTCTCATCACGCAGTCTGTAAAGTATAACTTAGGGTCACTCTCTCATCACGCAGTCTGTAAAGTGTAACTTAGAGTCATCCTCTCATCACGCAGTCTGTAAAGTGTAACTAAGGGTCACCCTCTCATCACGCAGTCTGTAAAGTGTAACTAAGGGTCACCCTCTCATCACCCAGTCTGTAAAGTGTAACTTATGGTCACCCTTTCATCACGCAGTCTGTAAAGTGTAACTTAGGGTCAACCTCTCATCACGCAGTCTGTAAAGTGTAACTAAGGGTCACCCTCTCATCACCCAGTCTGTAAAGTGTAACTTATGGTCACCCTCTCATCACGCAGTCTGTAAAGTATAACTTAGGGTCACCCTCTCATCACGCAGTCTGTAAAGCGTAACTTATGGGCACCCTTTCATCACGCAGTCTGTAAAGTGTAACTTATTGTCACCCTCTCATCACGCAGTCTGTAAAGTGTAACTTATGGTCACCCACTCATCACACAGTCTGTAAAAGTGTAACTTATGGTCACCCTATCATCACGCAGTCTGTAAAGTGTAACTTATGGTCACCCTCTCATCACGCAGTCTGTAAAGTGTAACTTAGGGTCACCCTCTCATCACGCAGTCTGTAAAGTGTAACTTTAGAGTCATCCTCTCATCACGCAGTCTGTAAAGTGTAACTTAGAGTCACCCTTTCATCAGGCAGTCTGTAATGTGTAACATATGATCATCCTCTCATCACGCAGTCTGTAAAGTGTAACTTAGGGTCACCCTCTCATCACGCTGTCTGTAAAGTGTAACTTATGGTTCCCCTTTCATCACGCAGTCTGTGAAGTGTAACTTAGGGTCACCCTATCATCACGCAGTCTGTAACGTGTAACTTATGGTCACCCTATCATCACGCAGTCTGTAAAGTCTAACTTAGGGTCACCCTCTCATCACGCAGGCTGTAAAGTGTAACTTAGGGTCGCCCTCTCATCACGCAGCCTGTAAAGTGTAACTTAGGGTCACCCTCTCATCACGCAGTCTGTAATGTGTAACATATGATCATCCTTTCATCACGCAGTCTGTAA